TATGTCAGGTTAAGCTTCGAATGTTAATTCACTAATTAACTAATTGATATTTCTAAAAATACAACATCCAAGTGTATTATGGTGTGCTAAATAAATGTATCACAGTAGTGCCTCTAGCTATTGTAGCAGTAGATGAATTCCAACTGTCCATTAAACATATTGTTTTACATAAATCAGAGTATTTTGCACAAGTTGAATTTCTTTACTTTTTATGGAGAAAATTCAAAATACAATGCTGAGACATTTAATTTTGATGGGTTGTTTAAAGTATTGTAAACAATTCTTATCTATTATCTGTGTATAATATAAGGTATACTAAAGATGTACCAATACAACACTAAATGTCATAAAAAACAAAATTAAATGGTTCAGAGGAAAATAGTTTAAAATGATCCATTACTGACTTCACTGGTTTAAGGGACTTATTTAGGGTGCTGCTGAAACAATCCTTGGCAAAGTCATTAGATAGCTCTAGGAATTTGTGCAGGCTATAGACTCAGTTTTGGGTTGCTGGTTCAAGTCCAGAGGGCCTGCATGGATACAAGGAATTGTTGATAGCATGACCTTGGCCATGTGGTAAGAGTTTACCTCCCTGGGTGTAGGTGACAGTAACAGAAATAGCAGTAATTAGTCCACCTCAGTATCTCAGCTAAGGTCTGACATGGCAAAGCTGAGAAGCCTATTGTGCTTCAGACTGAGCTGGGCTTTCTCCGTGGAAAAAATATAGCTTCCCTATTCCAGGTCCAATCCAGGTTTTATTAGCACTGTTGGTGTGATGCCAAAGGAAAAGCTAGCAAGAATAAGAAGAAGCATCAGACTAGGTAATTGGCTAGAGATGGTACTCTGGGAAGACAGGGACAAAAGGCAATGAGCTGTAGCCAGCCACACAATCCAAAGTAACAAGCAGTCAGCACTGGATTAGCAACGAAGGCAACATTAATAATTTAACTACAGCATTCACAATGATTTAACCATGCTATTCAGAGCACAAAGCTAATGGTGGTATAGTGAATGAAGCTAGAAGGTGGTGATTTTTAAAAAGTTTGTAAGTGTCAGCACATAAAAGAATCTCTATTGGAAAAGGCAATGTTCAAATTTTGCTTTCTTGTTTTCTGAAAAACACAAAAGGCAAGCATTTACATTTTGGTAGTTGCTGTTTAGTATTTTCCAGCCATGAAGGGGTGGGCTGTTTCAGAAGTTCCTATTGACAGCCAACTTACAGAGTGTGATAGACCAACACATTATGCTGTCTTTGAAAACTGAATAACAAATGTTTTTGCTATTTACAAGTCAGAAGTGAAGGAGCTACAGAGCTACAGAGCACCCACCCAAAATATACAAACCTCTCTCAGCATGCCCCACCTGCAAATTCTGCCTTCATTTAAGTCAACATTATGTTATAGCTCATCCTAACTCATGGAGGGCTGTAAAAAGAAGTACAAAGTGAGAGCATAGGAATGTGATAGCTCAGAATAGGCTCTCAGAATTTATCACTTGCCTACACACAGAGTTCTACCACTCTACTGCTGTGATTAAAATGGTAGAACCCTTCTCTAAGGATTACACCCTCTGCTTTATCACAGAAGATATTTGCCTGAATTAAACCCACAACTGTTCCATGTTGCATTCTCTCACTCTGTGAAGTTAAATGCTTTTCTAGAAGTGAACATGTAAAATGGCTGCTGTTTTTACACCTGGCGTGCTTTGTGTAGGTGTTCATAGGCAAAGCTTTTACTGTGGTGACAAAAAAAATGGATTTTTATAATACTTTACTTGCACTAGTGTTGTGGAGTCCATACAGTCAGGACAAAATGAATTAGATTCGATTGTGCTTCACATAGCCTGATTGAAGCACTACTGCAAATTCCAACTGCAGCAACAAATTTTGCTAATTACATTGTGCAAACTAGCTACAGAGCCTGGGCGGAAGGAAAATTTAAAGTCCCAAGGAAAACACATTATTATATTACATACTGCAGAGGCTGCTCTCAACTTCAAGTTGCAGTGGCCCACCAAATAGCACAGTCTTGGAGCTCTGTGAATTCCCTCTGAGCTGGAAACTATGCAGGTCTGAAGTGCTCACCAGGTGCTGGGGATATTTTGGTTAGCTCTGGGCTAGTTCTAAGTGCACATTACAGGAAATGGTTTCTGCTCCTATTGTCAGCATTTCTCTGGAAGAACTGTATTTAAGGAGTTCAGTAGAGGCACAAGGGTAGCAGTGGGGTTACAACTGTAATATTTAGGATTTGCTCACTTTATGTGCAAAAGCTATGTCAGGCTAGATTTCCTTCTGTGGTAGGCAGATGAGAATGGATCCTAAGGTCATCCCTACATCTCTAAGTACATTGCAACTGCTCTCTGCTAAATTTGTATTGGTCATACCTAGCAGAAGGGTAGCCCCAACTGTTCTGGATCTTATAGATAAAAAGTTAGTCCTATAGAGATGCTAAAAGCAAGGCTAGATTTGTCTTTGTTTGACAAAAATGTAGTATGAGCAGTACCACTCCACTTTTTGGCTCAAAGCTCCATCTACATAACAATGAAGTGTTGTCATTAGTAATACCATTCCAGGGCATCTTTTCTGAGTTAACAAAAATATTATACATGCTATTAATACCACCCATTTCACATGTTGATGTGACAAATGATTATTTGTACTGCTTACCTTCTATGTAATTTATATTATATACCAGTTTTTGGATAAGTGAAGCCTCTAAGCATTCCTGCCTTGAGCCCGTACACTTGTGCATGGGGTCTGTAGATCAAACCCAAAGAAAAGCTGAATAATCATATTCCTAGCAAGAACAAATGTCTGGCGGAGCCCATGGTTCAAGGTATGAAATTTGGTCCATGACCATAGAGTGGGCTTTGTGCAACCTGTACTCAAGGAGCATCCTTGCCAGGCAATGTGTGTACTCCCTTCCACAGCTAGCTGAGTGTCTGGCCCCCAGCAGACTGACAGGGTTCCTGCCTCCCCTCCACTGCTGAGCCTCTACTAGAGAATGAAAATGTTGAAAATTTAATTTATTTGGATTTCTTTAACTGAAAAGAAAAGATAGCTACAGAACAAGTGGTTGTGGTTGGATTATATTCTATCTCCTTAATCTCCTATGTGTCTATAGCAGGTCTGCAGCAGTAACACACTAACACACTCTGGTAAGTCAGATTTTATTCTTCTACTCTGTGCTTGGATGATTTTTCCTGCTCATTCCTGTTTGTTCTGTCCTCTTCTCTGAGTGCTTATCTTTGAGGAGCAGAAACCAGTCTTGGCTTCCTACTGAGAAAAACACATGAAAAGAGGTGCCTTTTACATCTCCCTCTGAGGACCTCATGTCACAGCCAGCAGAGAAATTGGCATTAAACTACCATATTCTGAAATATGGCATGAAAATCTTGAGGTGTGAGCTCCCTGCAGCCTCAGTAAATGTGACTGGCAATAGAAGAAGTCACTTAGGAAAGCTTTGCAGAGCTGATGTTGGCAGGTGACTAGGAAGCCCTAATCCCCTTGGATCAGGATGCAGCCATGTACTGAAAGGATCAGTCTTTGGTTTATAGAGAAAATTATGATTCTTGCTGAAATTCCTTGATTGTTTCAGACAAACTAGATTCATCAGAAAGACTTGTTTTTACAGGTCATTCTTATTTTTGAAGATTATCTTCTGAAAACAAGAGCCTTCTTTGCTGTCCTTTTGATACACGTGTTTTTGTCATGTTCATCCTTTCCCACTTGATTGAGTAGTGTTGTTTTAGAATTTCAGGCCTCTGGATTTTAAATGTACCACAGTAAATCCACCTTGGGATGAATCTCCATGATCGAAGCCATACTGCTTTCAATGATTGCATTGAACATAATTTAAAAATATATTTACTGATTTTGCCAGATTTTAATGAGCTTTGGAAACTTTTCTAAACTATTTAACATCCTTTGAAGAAACCTAGTATAAAAGGAAAATGTTACTTATATAAAACACATCATTCCGTATAGCAAGAGCCATTTACTGTGCTCAAAGCAGATTTCGGACTCAACAGTATGCTGAGAAAGTTAAACTGCCTATTAGCCAGTGCCAGCTGCACCAGAGGCTGTTTTCATATATATTTAATGGACAGGGGTCCAGTATTACTGTCATATCTACTTCCATCCTTTGCCTGTCCCTGCAGTATGTAGTGATATTTTCGTATTGCATAAAGTTTGTTTAGTAGTTAAGAGCACTCTCTTGAGCAACTGAATAGCTTCAAGACTTAGGCAATGCAAAAGAAGAAACACAAGCACCCCCCCTTTCAAAAAAAAAAACAACTTTCCCCACATAAAGAAAAATAAGTCCATCAATTTAAAGCATCTGTTCTAAAGTGGTTACTCCTGCTGGTCTCCTTTTATTTTTTTCCTTAGTTTTTAGTTACTTTTCTCTTAACAGATCCACATGACAAGATATCTCTCTTCCCAGCCCAGAGGGAATGACTGAAGCTCCTGTTTGACTATTCCAATGCTTTTCTGACAGCTGTACTGCTAGCTTTGCCTTCTTATCTTTGTTGTTGTTGTTTTTTTCCTTAGCTCTTGGGATTGGCTAATAGAAGATCTCTGCTGTGAAGCCCATCTACAACATGGCAGGGTCATTGTTTCCCTCTGGCAAAGGAGATTTTGTTTGCAACAGGTGAGGAGGAGTTGGTGCAAACTGCAAGCTGTGTGTAGTGGTAACTCCACCAACTTGGAGTGTCTTTATCAGAGAACATCACTCAGTGATTCATACAAAAGAGGATAAGAAGCTGATCTCTGGACAGGAAGCACAGAAAACTTCTGAGCTTGTGGCAGACCTCAGTGAAGTCCGAGTGAGGGCCCAAGAGTTCCGTCGTTGTTCCGTCATTGTCCTCTCCTGTTAGCACATGGAGCACAATGGGACAGCAGTCCTACTAAGAGCCTCTAGGGGCTACTGCAGTTCAATAAATGACAAAATATAAAATGCAAACCCAGTTTTTAGTCTGATATGGGCTGTGTTAATCTCTGGTGTGCTATCTTGGACTTCAGAAGAGTTACAAGCAATGGAATATTGCCCACTGAGCCTTTGCTGACTGTTCTCTCATTGCCACGAAGGATAAAGGATCACAGTGAGTAGGAATATTCTCTTAGGACACAGTGTTTTGTCTTGTTTTCCTGGGGGAGAAATTAGTCTTTCTGTTCTCTTTCTTTCTTTGTTCCCTGCTTTCTGATAATATTATAAAAGTAACATGTTTAGCTTATGCTGGGTTCTTCAGAGAACACACCAACTTTGTGTACATCACAGATTTTTCACTCTTTGCTAGTGCTTTAATGATATTTGTTTTTATTTGAGTTAAAAAGAATCAATGTTTTACTAATTTTCTCTTTAAAGATACCATGCACCCTTGATAATTCTCTCCCACCATGTGGGGTTTAGTTCACTGTGAAATGTTTCACGCACCATACGAGGCATAGCAAGAAAACGTGCATGTGAGAGAAGGAGAAGTCTTCAGAGCAGCATATTTAAGAAACTCAGAATTTAGGAGGAAATCTCTACAGGATATCAAAGCAAATTTCACTCCAAGAAAGTTTCAGTTTGTCGATAGATGTAGCACAAAGGCTTCCTGTTGTTTCACAAACAATGAATCTTCTCCAGCCTATAAATAATGTAAAGGCAAGTCTCAAGATTTTTTAAAAATTCTGCTAGCTTGAGGCTACCTACCCAGCATGCCTCCTTGTTTACAACTTCCCACTACAAATGTATATTGTGTTTGTTTTCAGGCAAACATCAGCTTTCCCTAATCCTGCAATTAACCTCCAGTATGTATTAGCAGCAGCCTTTTAAGCAGTTTTTACACCTAGTGATACTGGGCAGCATTATCATGGAGTGGTTGGCTCTATACTATGGAGAAGTGATCTGTGTGGTAGGAAATGTGAGGTGCAGCCCCTTCACCTACAGTGCTAATGAGTTACTGCCATCAGCTGCCAATCCTTTGGAAGCACCTGCTCTTCAGGTAAACTTCCTTGGAGCCATCTATAAAGGTAGAATGAAACGGTGCATTGAGTAAAGGTGATGCTACACCTTACATAAGTCTCGGGGATATAAATGGGATCTGCACAAAGGAATGGATTTGTAAAGTTCAATTTTTTGTCCAAAGGTTTGTCTTTTGTGTGAGAGGGCCTGAACTCCCAACATCTCCAAGAGTGCAGGTGAGTGCCCTTACTGCTTCTGATTTTGTTAGTCTCTCACTTTGCATTTTTCTGTGCAGGTACAGTAAGCCCAGGGGAAAGACCTTGTGTTTAGGCTAGATGTCCTGCCAAGGTTAGGGCCCCTTGCACAGCATGGAGTGACATGCTTGGTCTCTGGCAGGATGCCGAGGGCACAGACCCCGTGCATGGCCCTTCCCAACCAGCAGTGTCTCATAGGAAATACAGGTGCTTGTCTGGTTTGTTTGGTGTCTGATCCTGTCCCTGAGGGCGAGCTGTACTCTATAACAAGTGTTTGTTCGCATAGTTTTCAGAATATCATTAGACTGTAGACGCTCAGAAAGAGGTTTTGTATGCAGTCAGGAATACTGGGCATTTATAGAGCTTACAGAAAGGAAAACAGAAGTCACAATGCTGATGGAGTGTGGGCAACCAAGGAGATTTGGATAGCAAGTCTGGAGTGAAGAAGTTAAAGCCACTTTCTTTCAAATTCATCCACATTCACACTTTACTGGGATGGTCCTGAAGCACATTGTTCAAAAAATCAAATCTGGATCATGGACAGTTTAGTCTTTAACTGCCCATTTTACATGAAAAATTTGTAGTGATGAAAGGCTTCTTTCTGGGACCAGAGTATTGGCTAATTCTAAGCATCCTCAGAGTTTCCTCTTTGCTCTTATCTGTTCTGTTTTTCCTGGAGGCTTTTTACACTTGAAACAGAGTTTTAAAAAGTGAATTTCATTTATTTCCAAGCACATTTGAGGTTCAAGAAGAGAGAAGTTCTAATTAATTACATTCTAATATAATCTTAGACCAACACTATAACAGAGTATGGCCCATAACAAAGATCTGGATTGATTGTTGGGATCAGTCAAGGGACAGCTGCAAGCCATAACCATCCTTCAGATTTCTGATGCTGTATAGGAAGGGGCATCCACCCAGATCTTTCCAGTTTTCTAAATCTTGGCTGACAGGTGTCTGTCCACACAATGACAGCAACACAATAAACTGCTCAGCTACATTTTGTGACTGGGCACAGAGGGAAATTCCCCTCTCCCCTGCTTCAGGCTGATTCACTAAGGATAAAAGGAAGCAGTTTCTTGGATGAACTATGACTGAACCATTGCACTAGTGACACACATTTAGGAGCTTTCGGCCTGGCAGTTGTATAATCATGAAATGTACCTGCAAAATGTATAAGAAAGAAAAAGCCTTGAGTCGTGTGAATTTAAGAAAGCAGCAAAGGGGGGGGGGGGGGGGGGGGGGGGGGGAAGGTTCACAAAGTCAGATGTTGTTTCTGTCCATCCCCGTGAAGGTGAACTGTTCTCAGGTTTTCATTAGCTCTTAAAATTCCAGCTGCATATCTAATTTCCAGTCCCTACATATCTAGCTGAGGTATTACTTCCTTACTGCCCAAGTCAGGTTTTGTGTTCTACAAATGCTCTACAGAAATATCATTATAAATCCATAGCTGAAAGGGTCTGTGCATCTTAAGGGCTCTATCGTTTTTTACCTCTGAATATTCTGCCAGCAGAGATTTAGAACATTGGCTCTGTAAATGCTTTCATGTCAAGACTAAAGGCAACACTTGTTTAATTCATTCTTTGACCCAACAGCAGCTTTATCTTAGGTTATCACTTGTTAAGCTCTCTAGAATGTTTTAAACATGAAGGGGGCTGCTGTGTATATATACCCTGTCTATTGTATTTTACTTGCAGAAATTTGACACTAGTGATTCATAAATATCAGAACCATTTCCCTTCTGTGCTGTAAATTATGCTTTTCTTTAGCTCCATTCACAGGGTGTGTAACCCATTCCAGACAAAAGAACAAAAAAAAAAAAAAACAACAAAAAAAAAAGAAAATTGTATTTGTCCCCTACCAAATTTGTAGTTCTTTATTAAAGATCACTAGAGGTCACAGATTTATATACATCTGCTTCTGTGTATATATTTTCATATATACTTTTGTGTATAAAGTTTTGGTGTGTGTAATAATATACCTGTATGTACAGTTTGGGTACATGTGTATTTATAAGTATAAATATGCAGACACATGTGCACAATTTTATGTGCTGTGGTGTAAATGGAGGACTGGAGTTATACATCAAATGTACCGCAACCTGATTAGAATAACAACTAAGGTTTGCTGTACATCAAAATAATTTACACTACTCTTTGTAAACCCATCATTTCTGTAAGCAGGGAATTTATCTCTAAGTTGTCAAAGCAACTGTAGACATTTTTAGATGCTGTTTAAAATCAGCATCTAAAAATGACCCCTCAGAAATTACATCGACAGAATCCTTTTGGAATTGCATTACATAACACAAATCAGAAAATCAAAAATTTTATAGTATTGAGTCACAAGACTCTTGATATCAGTCTGTATTTTTACTGTCAGCAATGGGACAGACAACTTTTCACCTGAATTCATTCTCAGGTTGAAGTCTGATTCCTCTCTGAACATCATGAAGATGATCTGAGTACTTGCCATCCTCTTATTGGCTCTTTAAAAAACCCCAAATAACCAGCCAAAGCTAAAGGAAAAAAAAAAGGCAAAAAAAAAACCCCTAATTGGGTGGGAACCTTGTAGGGAGATTTGCAAAGTTTTGCAATACATTCCCCAATCCAGATAAGCAAGGACCAACACAGACAGAGCAGTTTGGCCCTGTGCAACCTCTGTAACTAAGAGCCAATCGGCTGGGACATAGGCACTGAGAGCAGGAGACATCTGCCAGGTGCCTTGGTCCTGAGTAATTACTCAACAAGATATGTTAACCGGAGTAATGTGAAAAAAATCCCCTGAGTGGAAGAACAGGACAGCAAAAGTAACAGCTCCATCAGGAAGGCAGTAGTTTAGAAATGTGGGAGATATCTAGACAAAGTTTAAATTGTCTGACTTGTAACTGGAAGTAATAGCTGCCAGCAGCAAGTGGGATACTTAGAAGAGAGATTTCTTTTTGACACCTGCTTGTTTTGAAGCACTTTATGGTTTTAATAGTTTTCAGGTGGTGCAGGAAGAAAAACCTATGAAAATATAATATGGAACTGCAGAAAGACAGTGCCTCATACAGAATTAACTGGTTGTGGCAAGTGTACAGAACAGATGGGAGGTGACCAAGAACAGTGTGCTAAAGTGAGTTGGACCCAGCCCTGACTAACAAAACCAGCAGAAGATGTTACTTTCAGTGGGATTCATCTCCACTAGTCACAACTGTCAAAAAAGTTAAATGTCCAGTCAAATCTAATCCCTTATGCTCTAGAGGCTGGTGAGGCACAAGCACAGAAGATGGCTCCACAGGTTAATGAATCCCAACTATTTGGAAGACAGCTTAAACAGAAAGATCTGTCCTCTTAAAGAAGTAAAACCAAACACCAAGGATAAAGCCTCCTTACTGTTTCCACATCTGCACTAAAATGAGGTGAACCCCATTTATGACCCAGGCTGAGGCTCATAAGGAAAGAACAGTACCCTAACACAATAGAAATGCTGGAACAGCCAAAATCCTCAGTTTTTCATGTGTGGTTGGGTTGGAGGGAAATAAATTCGTAAAATACTCCAACATCAGGCACTGTGAAAGATGCAGACAGACAGTGGTAGGCATTTCCCTTAAACTCTTATTCTATGCCATGAAAGCTAAAAGAGTTTTAAACATACAACTATAACCAAAATATCGAGCCCCAGATAAGGATGACTGAGGTCCTTGATGAACCAGACACTAGAAAAACTTTAAATTGCTGGAGTTTTAACTCCCTTTTGAGTTCAGAAGGCATCTATTTCAGTTTGCTGCCATAACCTGTAACAAAGGAAAATCATAGCTCATACTTAACAACAAAACCATACCTCCATTTATTTTTTTGAAAGAATATATGCATATTTTTAAGAATTATAAACAGTCAGAAAGCCCTGAGACCAGTTGATGCTAATGATTTTCTAATCAATGCATGGATTTTCTTAAATAAATAGATAAATCATCTGTCAATACTGTGCTTGTTATTCCATTAATGTCATAGCCATGAAAAAGGTATGACAAAGGAATAATGTAATATGCTCCCCTGGCACTGAGGCAATGACATCTTTTCAGAATGTGAGTAGAAGAAATTATTTCAGACATATATTTTGAATGTCTATTTGAAGCTATCATGTTGCAGTGAATAAAATGTGTTTATCCCTGCTTAGTCTGCAATCAAGTGGCTTAGCAGGCTGATGTTCTCATAGCTTTAACTTTCTTGCTTGGCAGGGGATCAGCCTCTCTTTGCTGCTTACATTGAGCAAACTTGCAGATCTCAATCCTTCTGGAGTTCTTCTCTGAGATAATGAGCTAGAGTGTACCTTTCGGCCTGCAAAGAAATTGTGAGTCTGGGACCATTCCCCTCAGACAGTGTAGGACCTCAGAGAGGGGCTGTTGGTTAAGAAACTTCACTATCAATGCCATTACAAACAATGTGGCTTCTTAGCAAAGTGCTTGAAACACATGCAGAGAACTAAATTACCCATGAACAACAACAAAACCCTGTCTATCACCACTGTAGATAAAAATACCCAGATGGAAGCTATGGAACTAAATAACCTGAACTTGAATGCAATTATCTGGGGCGTTTTGTTTCCTTGCAGGTCATATAGAAAGAAAAAATAGTGCTACACCTTTGATGTAGTTTTAATAAATATTCAAAGTCCCTTCAATTACTGCCTGAATAATTACTGTGGATGCAAATAAAATGGGGAAAACCAGAATGACTTTCTGGTCTTCCTCAGGGGAATGGACTTTGGAAGTAGCAGCACTGAATTGGATGTGAGGCAACTTCAAAAAGAAGAGGAAAGGGGAAAGCTGAGAATAGTAGGTGTTGTAAGGCATTACATTGCTAGTTATGCATGTAAAAGAGTGTGCATTAGCACTACAGCCTTCCACCATGGTGAGTGGCCAACTACAGTTTTGGAAATGATACTTTCTTCTCTTTGTGACCTGAGGGAAGTCTCTACATTCCCTTGCTGTCTGCTTC